GGCCCTATAAACCATATTAGGGGGTGCTCACAAGTCGCCTTACGGGGCCTACCAGCCAAGTGGGCAGTCACATAGCGAATAGTACTATATGCAGAAGGAAATCACTGACACAATAGGTGGCGTTTGGAATTGCAATGCCGAGACTTTGGTGAGCATTGCAGTCTACTGGGTAATTCAGAGATACCGTAAAGAGGTCGAATTTATCAGTATTTGTTGTTTAATATCGTTTCGGGTCTAACAGACAGTTGTCCCCGGATTAAAATTAATTCACATTTACTTGAACTAGGCCTTACCAAGGCCTTTTATGTCCCTTCCGACCTCATCGTTTCCAGATCATATTCATATTTTGACTCGGCGATTCACCTAAGAAGGTTAGCTTTTTTCGTTAACATTTTCGCTTCAATTTCCAGGCGCTTTTGCTATGCATTATTCAGTAACCCACTCGGGCTACTCATCGTGCAACTCGTCAGTATAGAAAACCGCCACCCCTCCAAATGGGTTGCGTTGTTGTTTTACGGAGCACACATTAGACGGCTTGACTCTGTTTTGCTGCTGGAATGTGACGAGAGAAGGATGAGTAGTGAGATCAATCCTGTAGTTAGCTTCGTTATAACACACTTGACAAGTTTTAATTTATCCGGAGATATTGAATGTCGTGTTTTCTAAGTTTTCGATTGGCAGAATAGATCGATACAGAAGACTGAGCATCAGGCCAAACCGGCACTTCATATAACCTTCATGACTATTTCTTTCAATGAGAAACGCGAAAATTCTGTTCGAGGTTTGATTGATGTACATGCAGGCAAGATGTGAATTTTACTGCGTCGGTGCTGTGTTCGCCCTCCTTTGTACTTGTGTTTGTCTTGCCATCAAAACATGTTAAGTGGAGATGAAAGAATGAGAAAAATGTTGCAAATTTCCCCCTCACTAAACAAGTTCACAAGGAAGTCACCTATGTACCCTCGGGATAATGACGGTCTTCGTTACTTACGACTGAAAAAACTATCAAAAAACAAAATGTCTTGTTGTCTCCACTCCTCTCACTCACTCACTCACTCACTCACTCACTCACTTAAACATCATAATTTTTTCTTCTCTTTTCAGAACCTCTCTAATCTACTTCAGGAGAACGGGGACAGCGCCAAGGCCTCCACCGATTTCATGCGCTATCCGCAGTTAAAGGAATCGCCGGTAGCCGCTTCTCCAAGTCGACCAGAAGCTTTTTTCTCCTCAGCGCGGCGGGCCAGTGATGAATTGGAGGCTATCAACTTGGCCAGTGGTGCCGGCCCGCCGGCCGATGCCGCTGACCACGTGACAGATCGCTTCTTTGAGCAACCCACTTTGCTTCGCTCACCGACCACACCGCAGAGCGAGGCACAACGTCTAGGCACGCTCGAACTGCCCGTCCTGACCCAACCCTCGCCCTCACGTAGGTTCCTCTCCCTCATTCACTTGCTCATCATCATCATCATCATCATCATCATCATCATCATCATCATCATCA